TGACAACATGGGGACATTTCAGGGGGGGGGGGGAATACATTGTAACATGACAACATGGGGGACATTTCAGGGGGGAGGGGAATACATTGTAACATGACAACATGGGGGACATTTCAGGGGGGAGGGGAATACATTGTAACATGACAACATGGGGGACATTTCAGGGGGGAGGGGAATACATGTAACATGACAACATGGGGACATTTCAGGGGGGGGGAATACATTGTAACATGACAACATGGGGGACATTTCAGGGGGGGGAATACATTGTAACATGACAACATGGGGGACATTTCAGGGGGAGGGGAATACATTGTAACATGACAAACATGGGGGACATTTCAAGGGAGTTGAAGACTTTTTCAAGGCACTGAATGGGTGATGTAACGGCTCCAGGAATTCACAGCCGCCATCGAGCTCTCCCTTACACAGGGGAGCCAGACCTATTGGGTCATGTGACCAGACTGGATTTGAAAAAAGATCTTTTTTTTACAGGCTTTGCAGGATAGGTAGGAGGAGGGGGGAGGGAACATTTTTAAGAACAATTATAGTTAGCCTTTACTACCACTTTAAGTCTTCATAGCAGATGCCGGGCTCAGAAGATTTTTTTTTTTACACATCAAAGACTGGAAATCATCCTCTGTCCTGTTCCTTAAGTAGTAAAACTGCATTGGATTCAACTTCTGTGTATTATGAGAGAGTTAAGCTGTCTGTGGATTGTGCTGAATCAGCAAGAAATGATACTTTTAGGACAAACTGGGATCTGTGGAGGTTTGTCAATGCATTCAGTTTTGTTTGAAACAGAACAGTTTTCGTTACATGACAAGACTGAAGGAAAAGCTGGAGTTCATGTTTAAAGCCCAACTCCAGGAAAAAAGGTTTGCCCTTGCAGTGGGGTTGCAAGGGTTAACTGTTTGTTTTTGCCCTGGGGGTTTGAGAAGGTAGGTATACTTACCTAGTCCTCCGATCCTCCCAGTACAAGACATGCGGCTGCTACCCCCCCCCGGTCTAGCGGTCCCGTGCAGCGGACTGTTCCTGACTTCCTCACTCCCATAGACTGGCTTTGGACATGAAGATCAGGAACAGTCCACTGGCTGGATCACAGGGGAGTGCTGTTTGCTGGTGGAGTGGAGGATCAGGTGAGTATTAGCTTTCTGTTCGCCCCTGGGCCCAGTGCTGGCACGGAGTTGGGCTTTAAACACTCGCTTTAACTGCTCCAACCTGTTCACAAACTAGCCCCAAAACGTCGTCAGTGTACGTATTTAGTACATTCCAGTTTTCAAACGTAAACTTTTTCAAATCAGTTTCCTTGCTTAAAAATTGTTTATGGTGTCACTCTAGCAACTTTTTACTGAATCTGGTTTGAAACGCAAATATGGGCTCCCCTCCCCCTTCCCAGTTGCCCCCCAGCATGGATGTTATGTATATTTATACCGGTCACATAATGTGCAGGATCTGCCCCCCCCCCCCCCCTTTGTCAGCGTCACTCTTTCTGATTAATTGTAGGTGAGCGCAGGGCGTCATGGTGAAAATATTCTCAGGCTTCTGGGTCAAATCACTGAGGGGACAGGGGCGAGGAGGTGAACTTTGCGCCCAAAGCTGTTTTTTTTTTATTAGAACCCTTAGAACACGGCAGAGATAGGATGCGACTTTAGTGAATTAGGCGGCTTGTCTTCCGACTTTTCTGACCATTATTCCAAACAAAGGGCATGGTACTCCGCTGCCATCTAGTGGACTAAATGCTAACTGCGCAGCCCAAAAATCCTTCTACCATGTAACAAGGGAGCGTGGTTCCATAGACTTGCAGTCTGCACAAGCGGAGCGGACATTGACCTGTCATCAACCTGCTCAGCTGGGATCAGCAGACAGATCCCTCGCTGAGCTGACAGAGTCCGCTGACGAACTACACCCGTGTGAACGGGGCCAGGGGCGGACTGACCATTTGGAAACTCGGGCACTGCCCGAGGGCCCAGGGTCTGTAGGGGGCCCCATGAGATGCCCCTGGTACCTTTTTCATAGGCTTTTTTGAGTTTGGGCAAGGACACAGGGGCCCCATGATTCCCTATTGCCCGGGGGCCCCATCAGTTGTCAGTCCGCCCCTGAACGGGGCCTAAGAGTTTAAAGAGCTGCAGTTCTAAATAATTTTGTACATTTGCAGGCCTTGTGTTCTAAATAGGTCAGTTTGTTGTTAGTACTCCATGGCTTTGTGACTTCAGGCTTGGTTAACACTCGTACGGGTGGAAGCCGCTGCAGGACCCGCACTTCGTTTTGCAGCTGCAACCACCAGGATTCACAGGTGGGTGCCTTTATTGCTAATGGCACACTGCCCGCACTGGGAAATGCGCTGTAGTGTGGCTCCCGTGTGGGCTGCAATTTTTGGAAAGATGCAGGGACCCCCTAAGTGAGGGTAATAATACCAATTATGAGTGGTAATGATGTGCAGAAACCTCTAGAAACCAGTCAGTGAGTGGTAATAATGTGCAGAAACCTTAGCAACCAATCAATGAGGGTAATAATGTGCAGTAACCTCTAGCAACCAATCAGCAAGCAGAAATTTTGTGCTGTAACTTCTAGCAACCAATCAGTGAGCCATAATGTGTGCAGTACCCTCTAGCAACCTATCAGTGAGTGGTAATGATGTGCAGTAACCTCTAGCAAACAATCAGTGAGTGGCAATGATGTGCAGAAACCTCTAGAAACCAGTCAATGCGTGATAATAATGTGTGGTAACCTCTAGCGACCAGTGAGTGGCAATGATGTGCAGTAACCTCTAGCAACCAATCAGTGAGTGGCAATGATGTGCAGAAACCTCTAGAAACTAGTCAATGCGTGATAATAATGTGTGGTAACCTCTAGCGACCAGTGAGTGGCAATGATGTGCAGTAACCTCTAGCAACCTATCAGTGAGTGGTAATGATGTGAAGTAACCTCTAGCAACAAATCAGTGAGTGGTAATGATGTGAAAATCCTCTAGAAATCAGTCAGTGAGTGGTAATAATGTGTGGTAACCTCTAGCGACCAGTGAGTGGCAATGATGTGCAGTAACCTCTCACAACCAATCAGTGAGCGGTAATGATGTGCTGTAACCTCTAGCAACCAATCAGCAAGCAGAAATGATGTACAGTAACCTCTAGCAACCAATTTGTTTGATAGCGATTGGTGTAGCATGAATACTCCAGCATCTCAGCTCCGAGCGGTGATAGATCCCCTTTCACAGAAACGTGTTCCTGTGCGATTCACATGTGATCCGAGTGCAGTGCGGTGCAGTGTGATTTCAGCACAATCATTTCAAATGGACTGAAATCACATGCACTGCTTTTGGAAATGCACTGCAACTGGTTGGCATGAGACTCCTGTTCCATGTGATCTGGTTTGGGCAAACACACTGCAATTCCAACCTGCATTCGGGGTGTCCTGAACGTTGCACTGACACTCGCTGCAGATTGCAAGGGCAGTGCGTTTGGAATGCATTGTGGGAAATGTGCATGGAACACGGGTTTCCCGCACCGAGCCCTGAGAGAGTTCCCTGCTCCACTCAGGGCTATGGATAAGAGGGTACCACTGGTCCTCCTGTATGGGGCCCAGGCAGCTGAGTGACTCAAATGTGGGCAGGGAGGGTGGTCAGTGCAGAGTGTGGGGGAGCAATTACTGGAACCGATCCCCTGTATGGCTCTCTCTGCAGCAGCTGGAAGTTGGCTTCTTCCCTCTCCCTCCCGCTGGCTTTCAGCTGCTGCAGAGAGAGCCATGTAGGGGACCGGTTCCAGTAATTGCCCTCCTGCTGCCCAGGGCCCCCCCCTGTGTGCCTCCACTCCAGCAGTGCATCCGGCTTCCCTTCTCTTCTTGCCACCACCAGCTGCAAGCACAAAATAGGATTCATCAGGATGGAGAGTGGGGGGAGGGTCACATTCACTAGCCGCTTTCATTCCCGAATGAACACAAGGAGTGATTGGTACTAATGACTCACTGTGTTAACTCATAACTGAAGCATAGTAAACGTTTTTGTTGGGGCCCTGTCAGGTTGGCTGTATGGGGCCCAGTGGTTTCTAACAGCAGCCCTGGCTCCACTATCCTGGGTGTTGGAGGTGGGGGGGGGCTTACAGGTTGGCTGTATGGGGCCCAGTGGTTTCTAACAGCAGCCCAGGCTCCACTATCCCAGGTGCTGGCTGGGGGCCCTGTCAGGTTGGCTGTATGGGGCCCCGCGGTTTCTAACAGCAGCCCTGGCTCCACTATCCTGGGTTGCATAGGACTGCTTCATGGTTTCAGGGTCTTTCACATGAGAATGCGGTGCCACGTTCCCACGCAGCTCCCCGCACCGCATGCCAGTTGCACTGTCCTTGCAAACTGCTGCGGGTGTCAGTGCAAAGGTAACGATACCACAAACAAACACAGGTGGTAAAACTCATTGGGGGGGGGGCGGGGGGTGACACCAACCCTAGTGGCGCCACTACATATTCCTGATCTGTGGCTGCTGTCCCATGTACTTGTATGAAAAGAAGTCTCCTGTTCTCTTTGTATTGCTTCCTATGTGCGATATTCCTGGTGTTCCTGCCAGTCCCTCTGCTTTCCTATTAAAAACTGACCACACTGGGCATGAGAGAACAACATAGTCAGTTTGCTGGCTGTGCTGAGTACCTGCTCTCTTCCAATAATTGTAAGGTTTACATGCACTTTAACCCTTACCGCCATACTTAGGTGTCCGTGTATAAAACCGTTTACTGTGCACTGCAGAACCGACGAAGTCACAGCGAGAATTCCCCGGATTTTCTCTAATGCATGCAGTTTCTGTATCATCAGCGCCATCTGAGTACTTTTTACGGAAATTATTATTATTATTATTATTCAGGGTTTATATGGCGCCATCAGTCTGCGCAGCGCTTTACAAAATGGTTGGCTGTATGTAGCTGGAGGCGAGCATGGCAGGAGGTGACACGGGAACTAGAGAGCAGAAGGTCTTGGGAGGATGAGGGGTGGAGGACACTGAGTGGAAGCCAGTGGAAGGATTGGCAGAGAGGGGTGGAGGACACTGAGTGGAGGCCAGTGGAGGGATTGGCAGAGAGGGGTGGAGGACACTGAGTGGAAGCCAGTGGAGGGATTGGCAGAGAGGGGTGGAGGACACTGACTGGAGGCCAGTGGAAAGATTGGCAGACAAGGGTGGAGGACACTGACTGGAGGCCAGTGGAGGGATTGGCAGACAGGGGTGGAGCACACTGAATTGAGGTCAGTGGAGGGATTGGCAGAGAGGGGTGGAGGACACTGAGTGGAAGCCAGTGGAGGGATTGGCAGAGAGAGGGTGGAGGACACTGAGTGGAGGCCAGTGGAGGGATTGGCAGAGAGGGGTGGAGGACACTGAGTGGAAGCCAGTGGAGGGATTGGCAGAGAGGGGTGGAGGACACTGACTGGAGGCCAGTGGAAAGATTGGCAGACAAGGGTGGAGGACACTGACTGGAGGCCAGTGGAGGGATTGGCAGACAGGGGTGGAGCACACTGAATTGAGGTCAGTGGAGGGATTGGCAGAGAGGGGTGGAGGACACTGAGTGGAAGCCAGTGGAGGGATTGGCAGAGAGGGGTGGAGGACACTGAGTGGAGGTCAGTGGAGGGAATGGAAGAGAGGGGTGGAGGACACTGAGTAGAGGCCAGTGGAGGGATTGGCAGAGAGGGATGGAGGACACTGAATGGAGGCCAGTGGAGGGATTGGCAGAGAGGGGTGGAGGAAACTGACTGGAGGCCAGTGGAGGGATTGGCAGACAGGGATGGAGCACACTGAATGGAGGTCAGTGGAGGGATTGGCAGAGAGGGGTGGAGGACACTGAGTGGAGGCCAGTGGAGGGATTGGCAGAGAGGGGTGGAGCACACTGAATGGAGGCCAGTGGAGGGATTGGCAGAGAGGGGTGGAGGACACTGACTGGAGGCCAGTGGAGGGATTGGCAGACAGGGATGGAGCACACTGAATGGAGGTCAGTGGAGGGATTGGCAGAGAGGGGTGGATGACACTGAGTGGAGGTCAGTGGAGGGAATGGAAGAGAGGGGTGGAGGACACTGAGTGGAAGCCAGTGGAGGGATTGGCAGAGGGGGGTGGAGGACACTGAGTGGAGGCCAGTGGAGGGATTGGCAGAGAGGGGTAGCAGACACTGAACGGTTGGTAAGGTGGATGAGCCTGGCAGCAGCATTCATGATGGACTGGAGGGGGTGTGGCCTATGTAAAGGTCATCCAATGAGGAGGGAGTTGCAGTAGGCGAAGCGAGAGATAACCAGGGAGTGAATTAGAAGTTTTGTGGTATCATTGGTTTGGAAGGGGCGTATTCTGGAGATGTTGCGGAGGTTGAGGCGACATGATTTGGACAGGGCTTGGATGTGGGCCTGAAAGGATAGTTCAGGATCCAGGGTTGCCCCTAGCACCTTGGTATGCAGGGATGGGTTGATGGTGGTGCTATTGATCCTGACTGAGAAATCAGGGGAAGAGGAATGTGGGGGAGGAAATATTATGGGTTCAGTTTTGGATAGATTGAGTTTTAGGAAGTGGAGTGACATCCAGCCTGATATGTCTGTTAGTAAATCGGTGATACGTGAGGAAACTGATGGGGTGAGCTGAGGAGTACAGAGATAGATTTGTGTCATCAGCATAGAAATGGTATTGGAAATCATGGGAAGCTATCAGCTGACCCAAGAAAGAAGTGTAGATCGAGAATAGACAAGGTCCAAGGACAGAACCTTGGGGGACCCCGACAGTAAGAGGAGGAGGACAGGAGGAAGTAGAGTTGTAAGTGACACTAAAGGTGCGGTGAGATAAATAAGATTCAAACCAATGGAGAGTACAGTCACGGAGGCCAAGTAAATAGAGTTTTTTGAGGAGGAGGGGGTGGTTAACTGTGTCAAAGGCAGCGAAGAGGTCCAAGAGTAAGAGTACGGAATAGTGACCATTGGTTTTAGTGGTTAGTAAGTCATTTGTGAGTTTTAGGAGAACAGTTTCTGTGGAGCCAAATCCAGACTGAAGGGGATCAAGAAGGTTATTTTCAATAAGGTGGCAGCTCAGCAGGTTGTAGATTAGACGTTCAAGGAGTTTGGAGGCAAAAGGGAGTAAGGAGATGGGTGTTACGTTGCCAAGATTGGCAGGGTCCAGTGAGGCTTCTTTAAGTATGGAGGTGACTAGCGCATGTTTTAGAGTTGGGGAAGATGCCAGAAAAAGGGAAAGATTGAAGATATGAGCTAAAGAATGAAGGATAGAGCCAAATGGTGACCGTAGTATTTACGAAAGAACAGGGTCCAGGGGGCAGGTGGTTAGGTGGGCTTTAGAAAACAGTTTAACAACCTCCTCAATAGCTGGGTTACACAAGGGAAGTATAGATTGTGTAGGTGGACAAAGAGTGTAGGGTGAGGGAGATGTCTGGGGGACAAGGAGCGTAGGGTGAGGGAGATGTCTGGTGGACAAGGAGTGTAGGGTGAGGGAGATGTCTGGTGGACAAGGAGCGTAGGGTGAGGGAGATGTCTGGTGGACAAGGAGCATAGGGTGAGCTATATGTCTGGTGGACAAGGAGCGTAGGGTGAGGGAGATGTCCGGTGGACAAGGAGCATAGGGTGAGCTAGATGTCTGGTGGACAAGGAGCGTAGGGTGAGGGAGATGTCCGGTGGACAAGGAGCGTAGGGTGAGGGAGATATCTGGTGGACAAGGAGCGTAGGGTGAGGGAGATGTCCGGTGGACAAGGAGCATAGGGTGAGGGAGATGTCTGGTGGACAAGGAGCGTAGGGTGAGGGAGATGTCCGGTGGACAAGGAGCGTAGGGTGAGGGAGATGTCTGGTGGACAAGGAGCATAGGGTGAGCTAGATGTCTGGTGGACAAGGAGCGTAGGGTGAGGGAGATGTCTGGTGGACAAGTAGCATAGGGTGAGCTAGATGTCTGGTGGACAAGGAGCGTAGGGTGAGGGAGATGTCTGGTGGACAAGGAGCATAGGGTGAGCTAGATGTCCGGTGGACAAGGAGCGTAGGGTGAGGGAGATGTCCGGTGGACATGGAGCGTAGGGTGAGGGAGATGTCTGGTGGACAAGGAGCGTAGGGTGAGGGAGATGTCTGGTGGACAAGGAGCATAGGGTGAGGGAGATGTCTGGTGGACAAGGAGTGTAGGGTGAGGGAGATGTCTGTACAGTGGAGATCTCATCACGAATTGTATCAATCTTATTTTTGAGGTGATTAGCGATCTCCTGGGCAGTGAGCGAGTTAGTGGGTGGAGATAGAGAAGGATGAAGTAGAGAGTTAAAGGTAGAAAAGTGTTGACGGGGGTTGTCTGAGAGGGTGTTAATGAGAGGGATAAAATAGGTCTGTTTGGCAGTGTGGAGACCAGAATTGTATTTTTCCAAACTGAGGAAATACCTCAGATTGGAAAAAAACACCTTAGATTGAACCCCTAGCCTTCAGCCTACCTATTTTTTTTTTTATTTTTCATTAAAAATTCCAATTTTAGGCTTGATGCAGCGCCTTGAAAAAGTCTTCCTCCCCCTATGAAAAGTCCCCTGTGTTGTCATGTGACAACCAGAACCGTCAATGTATTTTATTGGGATTGGATGTGATGGACCAACACAAAGTGGCACATAATTGTGGAAGGAAAATGAGAAATGGCTTTCACAATTTTTTACAAATAAATCTGTGAAAAGTGTGGTGGCATTTGTATTCAGCCCCCTTTAATCCGATACCCCTAACCAAAATCTAGTGGAACCAACTGCCTTCAGAAGTCACCTAATTAGTAAATAGAGTCCCCCTGTGTGTCATGTGATCTCAGTATAAATCCAGCTGTTCTGTGAAGCCCTCAGAGGTTTGTTAGAGAACATTAGTGAACAAACAGCATCATGGAGGCCAAGGAACACACCAGACAGGTCAGGGATAAAGTTGTGGAGAAATTTAAAGCAGGGTTAGGTTATAAAAAAATCTCCCAAGTTTTGACCATCTCACAGAGCACTGTTCAATCCATCATCCGAAAATGGAAAGAGTACGGCACAACTGCAAACCTACCAAGACCCATTGTATCCATCGCACCCATCCAAAGTTCCATCAAAGTCACAACAAAGTCTCACCCACCAAGTCAAACCAACCCAAAGTTTCCTCAAATTCTCATCAAAGTCGCACCCATCCAAAGTTGCATCAAAGTCAAACCAACCCAAACTTTCATCAAATTTGCATCAAATTCGCACTCATCCAAAGTTTCATCACAGTCACAAAGTTGCATCTGACTGTTTTTCACTAGTTTTGCATTTGGCTAGGGTCAGTGTCACTACTGGTAGCATGAGGCCATACCTGGACCCTACAGAGGTTGCACAGGCAGTCCAACTCCTCCAGGATGGCACATCAATACATGCCATTGCCAGAAGGTTTGATGTGTCTCCCAGCACAGTCTTAAGAGCATGGAGGAGATTCCAGGAGACAAGAGTATGGAGGAGATTCCAGGAGACAAGAGCATGGAGGAGATTCCAGGAGACAAGAGCATGGAGGAGATTCCAGGAGACAAGAGCATGGAGGAGATTCCAGGAGACAAGAGCATGGAGGAGATTCCAGGAGACAAGAGCATGGAGGAGATTCCAGGAGACAAGAGCATGGAGGAGATTCCAGGAGACAAGAGCATGGAGGAGATTCCAGGAGACAAGAGTATGGAGGAGATTTTGGGAGACAGGCAGTTACTGTAGGAAAGCTGGACAGGGTCGTAAGGGGTCCTTACCCCATCAACAGGACCGGTATCTGCTCCTTTGTGCAAGGAGGAACAGGATGAGCCCTGCCAGAGCCCTACAATATGACCTCCAGCAGGCCACTGGTGTGAATGTCTCTGACCAAACAATCAGAAACAGACTTCATGAGGGTGGATTGAGGGCCCAATGTCCTCTAGTGGGCCCTGTGCTCACTGTCCGCCACCATAGAGCCCGATTGGCATTTGCCATTGAACACCAGAATTGGCAGGTCCACCACTGGCACCCTGTGCTTTTCACAGATGAGAGCAGGTTCACCCTGAGCACATGTGACAGACGTGAAAGGGTCTGGAGAAGCCGTGGAGAACGTTCTGCTGCCTGTAACATGGTTTGTAACAAGCGTACACCCAGAGACTGACTCAGTCATCCATTTTGTTAAGAACTCTACATGTTGTCCCTCATTCTCCCCCTTTCCTCTCTGTTAATATACAGGGACATGTGTGTGTTGGAAGGGTCATAGGCAGGCCAGGGCACAGCAGGGATCCCCAGAGCTATAAAACATTTTTGAGCTGAAGCGCCTGGTTGTCTAAGAGAGCTGTGCAATCTCGCACCTCGTAAAAGATAACGCAAGCCTTCCCAGGAGTTCAAAGACATTCCAACGAAGCACATGAACCAGATAACACTTTTAAAATCCATTTTTCCCCTATGCCTCATATGAGTATGAATATGAGGGACTTACATAAAAACCAGGTATATCTTCAAATTGGCCACGAGGAGACAAACAGTTTTATAGGTCACTCTCCTTGGCTGGAATACATAGGAATGCAGAAAAGTAGATCTCTTGAACCATTCAGTGTATAATTTCATATTTCATATCTAATCATTCCTCAGATGTGTCTGCATAATAATCTACCCGTGGATTGAATGTCACTTGTGCATATGGAAAGTTCTGAGCCAAAATATGAACTAAAAGAGATGTTGGCTCTAGTTTAGGCCTACGCCCAAACGATCCCTCCCTAAACGGGGTATTGGTCCTTGACTTCAGAGACACCCCCTGCTGGGGAACTACAAAATGGGTTGTCAGGCATAAGAGAAAGAAATTGAAGAATTCTCCCTTTTAACATCAGAACCACCTGGGGAGACCCGTGACCTTTCGCTCTGAAACTTGACCTGCTTAACCAAGAACTTTGGCAAGTACTTTAACCCTCTAACTTCTCTCTGTTATCTCTTTGCTGTGCTGTTGTCCTCTGTATATTTATATATATATTGGTTACATCTTTTTTCTGTAAATATGTTTATTGCACCCTTTTGACCTTTTAGTAATAAATCTTTCCTTCTGAAAGTGTTGAACTGTTTCCTTTAGCTCTTTATTGCAATTTACGAATTCCTGCCTCTAAAAAGAGCGCTACTGTGTTTGTTTAAACCCTCTGTATAACCGGCCTGCGGTGACCGTGTTATACAGATGATTATCTCAACCATTATAGTGTTATAGCTGATATCGTCGAGTTTCCTCTTTCTCTGCACAAAAAGGAGGTGGTGGCAGTGTGAAGGGTTAATTGCGTAATTAACCTGACCCAGTAACAATCGCTCAGGCTGCCAGTACATCGATTGTGGTCCAATTAGCTGGAAAATCGCTGTGTAGGGTGCACCTGGGTGTGGCATTGTTACGTACATGACATCGCGGTTTTAGATTGGCCAGTCCTTCGGTCACGAGTTTGGTGAGAAGGTCTGGGGTCTGACGCCGCGTTTGTTACATGGTTCACCATGACCGTTTTGGTGGTGGGTCAGTGATGGTCTGGGGAGGCATATCCATGGAGAGACGCACAGACCTCTACAGGCTAGACAATGGCACCCTGACTGCCATTAGGTATGGGGATGAAATCCATTGTCAGACCCTACGCTGGTGCAGTGGATCCTGGGTTCCTCCTGGTGTAGTGGGTCCTGGGTTCCTCCTGGTGCAGTGGGTCCTGGGTTCCTCCTGGTGCAGTGGGTCCTGGGTTCCTCCTGGTACAGGGGGTCCTGGGTTCCTCCTGGTGCAGGGGGTCCTGGGTTCCTCCTGGTGCAGTGGGTCCTGGGTCCCTCCTGGTGCATGACAATTCCCGGCCTCATGTGGGGAGAGTATGCAGGCAGTTCCTGAAGGATGAAGGAATTGATACCATTGAATGGCCCCCACGCTCGCCTGACCTAAATCCAATAGAACCCCTCTGGGATGTCCTGTTTCGGTCCATCCGACGCCCCCAGGTTGCACCTCAGACTGTCCAGGAGCTCAGTGATGCCCTGGTCCAGATCTGGGAGGAAATCCCCCAGGACACCATCCGTGGTCTCATTAGGACCCTCCCCCGACGTTGTCAGGCATGCATACAAGCACGTGGGGGCCACACAGACTACTGAGGACCATTCTGAGTTGCTGCAATGACATTTCACCAATATGGACTCGCCTGCTGCATCATTTCTTCACTTTGATTTTCGGGGTGTCTGTGAATTCAGTCCTCTGTAGGTCGATCATTTCCATCAAACGTCCTTACGTTCCTCACCCATCCCCCGTCCATGTCAGTATAGAGATCCAGCAGGAGATTCCTCCCCATTGGGATCTGATGGGTTGTCAGAGTCTTCCTTTCAGTTTTTGGAGCCGTGTGTATATACAGTACTGTGCAAAAGTCTTAGGCAGGTGTGTAAATGAAGAGTACTTTCAGAAATAGAAGTGTTAATAGTTTATTTTTATCAAATAACAAAATGGAAAGTAAATGAAAAGATGAAAAAAGGAAGGGACCAAATCTCCAACTCCATTTGCAGAAATGCATCTCCAAAACCACCATGCTTCACAGTTGGCTGCAGACACTCATTACATGTGATCGCTCTTCATGACATTCCGGAGTGGATGACAATTGGAGGCGGCAAACATTGTGCAAATTAATATTTGTGTCATTCTCCAAACGTTGGGCCCCGGCTGTATATACGGGGCTCTTGTCACAGTTCAGACACCTCCAGCACTGAATGGGATGCTGGAGGGTCTAATGTTGATGGTGGATATCTATTGTTGCTTTGGTCTATTTGTTGAGGGTGGGAATCTACTGTTGCTGGGGGTCTGTTGATCGTGGAGATCTATTGTTGCTGGGGATCTGTTGTTAATAGAGGAGATCTATTGTTACTGGGGTCTGTTGTTGATGGTGGATATCTACGGTTGCTTTGGCCTATTTGTTGAGGGCGGGGATCTATTGTTGCTGGGGTCTGTTGATGGTGTAGATCTATTGTTGCTGGGGTCTGTTGATGGTGTAGATCTATTGTTGCTGGGGGTCTGTTGATGGTGTAGATCTATTGTTGCTGGGGGTCTGTTGATGGTGGAGATCTATTGTTGCTGGGGGTCTGTTGTTGACAATGGAGATCTATTGTTGCTGGGGGTCTGTTGTTGATGGTGCAGATCTATTGTTGCTGGGGGTCTGTTGTTGACGGTGCAGATCTATTGTTGCTGGGGGTCTGTTGGTGGTGGAGATCTATTGTTGCTGGGGGTCTGTTGTTGACGGTGCAGATCTATTGTTGCTGGGGATCTGTTGGTGGTGGAGATCTATTGTTGCTGGGGGTCTGTTGTTGACGGAGGAGATCTATTGTTGCTGAGGGTCTGTTGATGGTGTAGATCTATCATTGCTGGGGGCCTATTGTTGATGGTGGAGATCTATTGTTGCTGGGGGTCTGCTGATGGTGGAGATCAATTGTTGCTGGGGGTCTGTTGTTGATGGTTGTAAAAAATCTTGCATGAAGGTGGACAGGGGGCAGAGAAAAGGCGTTACTTGTACGGGGCCCGGTACACACACTGTATAATCTCTGTATATCTACAATTGCCATGTTTTCTCCTTTATTCCCCTTCTGCTGATCTCCTCCGGATCTTTTCTGGAATTACTTGCCTGTAACTCCAGCATTGGATGCATATCATTGGATGGTGACACGACTTGATCACGGGTGTCTGCGAATCATCCTCCTGCATCACAAGCAGGGGGCGTGTCTGAGGATGACCCTCCTGCATCACAAGCAGGGGGCGTGTCTGGGAATAACCCTCTTGCATCACAAGCAGGGGGCGTGTCTGGGATTAACCCTCCTGCATCACAAGCAGGGGGCGTGTCTGGGAATAACCCTCCTGCATCACAAGCAGGGGGCGTGTCTGAGGATGACCCTCCTGCATCACAAGCAGGGGCGTGTCTGAGGATGACCCTCCTGCATCACAAGCAGGGGGCGTGTCTGGGACTAACCCCTCCTGCATCACAAGCAGGGGGAGTGTCTGATAATAACCCTCCTGCATCACAAGCAGGGGGCGTGTCTTGGACTAACCCTCCTGCATCACAAGCAGGGGTCGTGTCTGGGAATCATCCTCCTGCATCACAAACAGGGGGTGTGTCTGGGAATGACCCTCCTGCATCACAAACAGGGGCGTGTCTGGGACTAACCCTCCTGCATCACAAGCTGGGGGCGTGTCGGGGGATGACCCTCCTGCATCACAAGTAAGGGGCGTGTCTGGGACTAACCCTCCTGCATCACAAACGGGGCGTGTCTGGGAATAACCCTCCTGCATCACAAACAGGGTGTGTGTCTGGGAATAACCCTCCTGCATCACCAGCAGGGGGCGTGTCTGGGAATAGCCCTCCTATAGCACAAGCAGGGGGCGTGTCTGGAGAGAACCCTCCTGCATCACAAACAGGGTGTGTGTCTGGGAATCATCCTCCTACATCACAAGCAGGGGGTGTGTCTGGGAATAACCCTCCTCTGTATTTTCTATACGACTGCTGTCCCCAGGACTGAATGTAATGGAAAGAAAACCAGTTGTCACCAGAAGAGGATATGGGGGAAATCATCACATGGGGACACCTGTCATGATTCAATTTGCTCCAGTGGTGGAAAGAAATTCCTGATTCCCCCGGAAACAAACATTCTCTGGATCCACCAGCCTAATATCACAGATCAGTATCCAGATATATTCTGTGTATTATGTAGCAGTGCATATAGGTCCAGCACTGAGAA